CCGGTCTATAGCCATTTCTTTCTAACAAAAACAATAAAAGCACTATTGCAAAAACCTACCTAGCACTTGCTGCCTTTTCCCACAACAGGATTGTGTTTTATTTTTGCCCTCAAACTCAAAACTCGAGCGAGGATCGCACATCAGCTGACAAGATGGCCGCACCGGTCGCCGTTTGGTTCCAGTCTCCCCCGTTCCATACACCGTCACATTTATACTCTATCGCAAGCCGATCTTCGTTCGTCTCTCAGAGCCAAACACCGCGTGTCACAAACTTGAGACTGTCACCAGCGCGCAGTTCACTCTCTATTATATAATACGCACAGTTTTTTAGCTGGCCAACTTCCTCCCTTCGCCGGTAATAAGCCCTCAAAAATACCCCCATTCACCTCTTTAATAGACCAATCACAGACTACTTGTGCACAAAGCCCACCCGGGTTAGCCTGCAGCCAATCAAAAAACACCCATCCACCTTGAAATGACCCATCTCGTTTCGTCCAATCACAAACGCTACATAGCGGACCCTTTTTTTTTTTAATTTTTAAATTTTTAAAACTAAACTAGTGAGCAGCACTCTGCGAACTGTTGCTGTAAAACTTGTTTATTCTCCTACGCGTTTCGTCTAACTAACGTAGACTTCTTCATGCATGTCTCGACCGTTTTTAATTCTTGTCTGTTTTGCTTTTTGATGTGACCCCGCAAGAAAATGTAATGCAAATTTTTCTTAGGTACTCTACCTTGTAGAGAATTAGAATAAACGGGATATTCGATGTCAGTATCTGCGTTCACGTATGTTATTTTCTTTGTATGTCACGATTAAAAAACAGAGAATTTACTGGAATTTCCTTTCCAACAATGGTAGTCTTTACACTAGAGCCTAAATAAGCTAAGAAATATTTGAAGACAAGTAAATTGGAATTCTTCCAGTAAAAGAAAGCTTCACACACAACCTATCTTTTTTACTTCAGGTTTGCTTAAGCCTATTTTCCCACGCAACATAATTCAGATTGATTGACATGCTTCGCCTTTCGCAAAGCTTAGAAACCGCAAGTCCGCTAAGTCGGTTTAAAGGTGAATTTCTCAGCATTTCGTTATTTAAAATAACTGCACAGTAATTTTCAAGGAGTTATAATAACTCCTCTAGTGGGGCTAATTTAACTCCTTACAGTGGAGCTATTTTTTGGGGAGTTATTTTAAGTCCAAAAAGGGGTTTAAAGAACTCTTTTTCAGGAATAAAAGTGACCCCTGATATTGAGGAGTTGAAATAACCCCAAAAAAGGAGTTATCCTGTACCTAAAATTTTTACTCCATTTTTGGAGTTATAATAACTCCCTAAAAATAGGGTCTCTACTCTCGTGGTTGATTAACTAGAATATTGTCATCATTGTCCGGTTAAAAACAGTCACGAAAGTATCTTAAAATAACTTTCGCGATCTGAGCATGGTGCTTAGCTCGTTTGAAAAAAGGAACTTTTTGCAATAGAAGAAGAAGTCTGTCTTCCAATTATTCACTGCAGAGATAATAACGGGAAGTCAACTTAACCAAATTTGATAAACGTCACGTTTGTACAACGTTATTAGCAGGTTTCGTGGAGTATTTTTTGCACTGAAAAATCTCTTGAAGCTTACTAGGCGTTGTGAAGTTTGTGATTTTGCAGGTTAAAGGAAACATTCTGTTCCAGTCGAACTGGAAGGTTTCTGTCTGCGTTAAAAGTTTCCTTAATAGGAAGCGCCATAATTCAGGTCATAGAGAAAAAGAAAAAAAAAAGAGGAAACATCTTTACGGTGGCCAATTTACTTTATTGGTGTCAAATTGAAGTAGAATACCGAGCTGCAGGTGTTTCTCTGTGTCAATAGTATTCCGCATATTTTACGGCTACCCGGGCAAAGAATATCGTTTTAGGTGGTTTTCACGTTACGTCATCGCCGCCATGCTGGTGGACAGTAAACAAAAAATCGTTCATTAGCTCGTTTTGTTTGCCCACCAGCATTTGTTCATTTCACCATTGTTATTTGTGTCTCCTGAGACTGGATTGAAACCACCTATACCGAGGACATTTACATACAGAATCTTTATATCAAAGCTTTCACTGTGAAATGAGCATATCACCTTAAACAGGGCCTGAGAGGGTTAGCCCACTCCACCTAAGGTTCCCCTGAAAGCCTCTATCGGATCTTCAGGAACAAAAAAAAAACGACAGGGTACTAGGTCTACTTCAAATCTTTATTACGACTTAATCAGCGCACCATGAATTTCACAAACTGAATTTTGTGGTAGTAACACTGGTTAATAGGAAGAAAATCACTTTAAAAAGCAAGTACGGCATACCTCATTAAAGTTCGAATCTGCATTCAAACTAATTCCAGGATTTGGGCCAACAAAAGGTTACCGATACTTTCTAACCCTAAGCCTAACCACTAAGGAAATCTATGTACTACTTGAAAAAAAAAGAATATTTGGAAAACTATTCGCTTTAAAGTAGCAGGGAACTCCATCAACCACGACGTTTAATGTGGACAATGTGACTCGCTCCCTTTCTGAAACGCGGGCAAAATTTCCGCGACTGACACGATGGACCCTTCATTAAAAGTGAATCTGGTACATTTTACGTCTCAAGTCGTGCAGCAACGACAAAGAAATGCATCAAGACGTGTGCTGCATGTGTGGGTACCTTCATTTCAAAACTAAATAATTCAATGTTGAATGAGTGTCTTCATATCTGATAAAGAGACGGCTCACGTCCAATTTTTTAGACCAAAGTAACTTCAGACCTTAATATTCGTGCAAGAATGAGTTGATCTACATCAGAGATTTTGAAGCCGTTCAAAAAACTCGCACCGCTTTTTTGACGTTCTCTTTGCCTTGGCAACTTCGTGGTTGCTGAAACCTGCCTTCACTAGCCATAATAAGAAAAAAGTTCTTTTTACAGGTGGGCTATGTCACATAATGTGGTTTTCAATAGGGCACTGCATAAAAAAACTACAAACTACAGTACTAAAAATGACGAAATATTAAAATAGATGAACTAAACTATAAACTATACCGCTCTCTTATGACACACATTACAGTTTACATTTTAGTTTACTTCCCAAGCACGCGTGGCCCGACCATGCTGGAGAAGTCTGCCCACCCCGGGGGTGGTTCTGGAATTGGTCTTGGATTGAGAAAGAGCCACTCGATGTCCTCCAATCGCGGCTGTAGTGGCGCGAAATGGACACGCGTAAATGCAAAGGGAAAGAACCCTAAAGGGATGCACCGGGGAGGGCCTTCTGTAAGATTGAAGGGAAAAATAGACTGCTTGCAATGTGGGCAACTAGTTCGTAGACGTCCCTCGGAATGAACAAACCAATTAAGAATGCACTCCTCGTGAACTCGTTTCCGACAGCATGAGAGTCTGCTAGAAAGAACCTCAAGACTACCGAGGCACACTAAACACTTTGACTGAAGATGTTTTTCCAGCCGTGCCATGTCTCGCTGGTAGCGTTGTATGGATTTTTTTTCTTTTTTCGCTTGCCCATCTCTCGTCACTCTGAAAGACAATGAAACACGTGCGCTCCAATTAAAACTCAAACTACAATCCAAACGCCGTTTAGCCTCAGCAGATAACAGGGTGTGAATTCTCGTGAAGGGCACGCGACTCAAACAACTTGCTAGGCATTACATGAAAGTATTCACACACGAGAGATGAGCAAGCTGCTACGATTTGAAGGTTGAGCGCTGGTAAATCACGCGTACAAGTGAAATAAGCAGAAGGAACAAAGCTGGGCCATCCACTGGCGTGGGAAGAAACCTCGCGTGCGCCCGCATGGACCGTGCAATCTGCCTGCAGATGTGCAGGAGGCCTTCCTCCCAGCCTGAAGACAGAAGACGTTAGGCACGCGCGCCAACGGTCTTACCACGGCAGCGGAAAGCCTAGCCTTTGGTCTGCAATTATTTGACGGTTATAGCGCAGTTCTCGCAGTCTGCATTTGCTTAACGATTTCAGACAATAAGGCGTGAGCAAGTCACGGGTCATGCTTAATATTTTTTTGTTTTTTCATAATTTTTTTATATAAATATATATTTGTTTGCCAATCGTTTGACAGTTCGTTCAATCTATGACATTTAAAGGGAGTCAAAAACTTGATCGCCTTGCCTTTCCAAGCTGGTTCTGAGATGCCTACGGTTGAGTGGATGGTTTTCGAATAAGCGTAAAGATGCGTCTCTTGGGTGTCCTGAGCTCGTACAACCCTTCAAGTCGATGGAAGTGAACGTCGATAGGATAGATCAGAGCGCTGGTTTTTTCTTGCCAAACATCCTTCCCCGCTTGAAATTCGTAATAATTTGGGCGCGTATCTAATTCTCGAAGCCAGGCCAACCGAGCGTCTCTTCCGTCGTGGGTGTACTTCAATACTTTGGCTAAAAAAACGTCTGGCCGCCCTGGGTTCACATCGGAAGGAATAAGCGCGCATAATTCTCCGGGAGACGGCAAATCATCTGAATCTAATTCCTGTTCGTTATCGGAAGAGGTCGCTCCTGAGGTAGTCGGAGGCTCATCAAAAATAGAATTCAAGGCCGACTTACCGAGGTAGCGTAATGCTTGTGACGTGCGCTCCTGTTGTGTTCGGCGATCGTAAATATTTATTTGGGTTCTCAAAGTGTGTTTGCAAACGCGCGCAAGAGATTCGGCAAGTCTCGCGTCAGAACTTTCAGGCGAAGATCGAAAGTGCTCGACCAGGGCATGTCTCATTTCATTTATCCCGCAGGGCAAGCCCAAGTTTCTTTTAAAAATGGTCGATAGGTAGAGGGAAAATGAGTTCGATTATCGGAAAGGCATGCCGCGTTTGTTCACAAAGAAGCAGTCGTGACTGCTCTCTCTGCAAAGCAGTCTTGGTCTCGACCTTGTTCTGTATTCCCTGAGGTGGTGTCAGGAAATCAAACTCTTGATCAAACTGCACGACGTTTGGGCCATATTTTGCGGCGGTCTTGTACCCCGTCTCAACCAACCAGACTGGGCCGTTGTCTGAGATGACTACTACATTGTCGCCTTCGGGCAAGCCTCTTAACAGAGTCTGCACGCCGCCTTCTGGCATTTCCATCAGCAAGCGAAGAGTCCTCAATTCTCTGCCTCGACCCGGATTGACAGCGAAAAGGAGAAGCATCGTAAAATCCATGTGCAGCCGCGCCTTGTTTGCGGCAGGTGCGTCCTGGTACTGGCAGTGAAGGCTTCGAACCAACTCTTGGTACTGAGGCCATAAAAGTCTGACGTCCGGCATGCTAGTTGTGAAGGCTTTTGCTCTTTCCAATTGCCGTCTGAGCGCGCGAAGGTCACTAGAGACAGAGTCACCTTGGAAATCCCCGTACCTTTGATCTGCACCCAGGAAGTTTGAAGTGGTCACCAAAGATTGAATATAACAGGCGGCAGTGGAATTTTGCACTCGCCTGTCCGTACGCAGGTGGCTAATGAAAGACTCTACGAGCGGCAGGTTTTTTACCAGGGCTAACGAGGGCGTCACCTCCAACTTACTCGCGCCGAAACTTAGGAAAGTGACAAGGCGTTCGACGAGTTTTAGCCACGTCGTCATTGTCATTTTGCCAGAGCGCCTCTTGTGATTAAACTCGCTAGTATAAAAGGTTTTCATCGCTTTGATTTCCCTCAAGACCCTTTTGAATGGCACGGGATCTAGTCCTCGACTTTCTAAGATACTTTCTACCTCCTCTAGCCTCACGTCGGCGCCTGATTCGCCGGGCTCAAAACTCACATTCTCTCCTTCATCGTCACTTTCTTCCACCGCTACTCCTTTTTTTTCTTGTCTCTCCGTTTCTTTCAGTGTTTCCTCTTGTCCTGTCTCTTCCCCTTTTTCTTCCCCTTCCTCTTCGTCGTCGTCGTCGTCTTCTTCTTCTTCTTCTTCTTCTTGCTCTTGTTGTCGTCGTTGCTGTTCATCTTCTTCCAGTTCTTCGCCCCTTTCTTTCGATCGCCAGTCGGCCGACTTACTCGCACAGGCGCTTTCAGAATACCACGGAATCTGAGCAGCCGTTGTCCCAAGGAAAGACTGACATCTATTCTCGGTGTCAGTAGCAGTTGTGGGCATTGTTTTCCAAGCGTGACAGAGGGCAGCTAAATTTTGTTCCGTAGGCAGATTTGTACCGGTTACATCGCGGAAAGGCAATGCGAGTGACTGGTTCTTTGCCCTTTGACTGAAATCTATGAATGAAAGGTCTAGACTAGCTTTCTGCAGGTAACTGGCGCATGAATTAGCATTGCCTAGGTTAAAACACCTGCTACTTTCGTTTTGTACGCGCGATTGGTGGTAAGCTTGTAAGACAAAGACGTCTCGCTTAGATATAAGCGAAATGACTTTGTAATTACAAAGTCCTGGCCTGGCCTTTCTAACAATGTCAAGGACGGTAGTAGGACATCGCACTAGATTAAGTCCCAATGTTCGCATGCGCGACTTGATGGTTTGTCTTGGGGTTCCACTGAAAACCTTGTCGCATACTTCTATAAAGGCATGGTAAAAATTACCCTGGCTGTCAGGGACTTCAAACAAGGTGTCAACCGGGTCTTCGTTCTGTCCGGCACAAGAAAGGGAAGCTGATGTGACGTTCCCCTAATGAAAGTAAACAAAAATGACATTATATGTACATACAATGTAAGTTGTTGGAAAACTGCAGTTTGCTTTCTTTGATACACTGGTGTAGGTTTACGGCTCAGACTCAGCAACGTCAAACTGAAATCCGCAAACTCTGAATCTTACGCGGCTAACGTAACAAGAAAAGTCTCACAATCATGAGTGGGCAATATTCACAAATCAAGTTTCTGCTTTAATAAAGAACTCCTTATGCACTCTCTATTATAGTTTACCTTATCCTTATTTTTATATTTACATTACTGTGCGAGTGTCGGGGACTCAAGTCATCAGTCAATCTTAAACGTTTGATTACTCCTCAAGAACGGGTTGTTAGAATATTCTACCAGGAGTATACCAAATCTTTTTTTTGTGAACTTACGAATTGTAAAATTTGAAGATATTATCAAACTAAGTATCTTTACAAAAAACGATGGGGACAAAAACATGTTTTAACTGTGACGTACATTCACGCAACACTTGAAGTAAGAATTCGTTCCGCTTGCCCTACTGCAGGACAAATGTAAGGAAATTTTCACTTGTGTTTTAAAATATCTAATTCCCTTAGCTCTGAAATTCAGAACTCAATGCCTCTATTATTGCTGCATTCGAGACTTCAAGAGAGACTTCAAGACTTTATTATAAATTTTCTAAAGAATATTTTTACAAGTGTCCTGGCACCGCAAACAGCTATAGCTAGTCTAGGCGGGCCAGGAACGATACCAAAAGAAAATAACTGCAATAAAATTAAGGTAAAAAAAAAATAACTGATCTTACGAAGAAAAACATATGAAAAAGATGCATTTAAAACTCCAAGGAGGAAAGGAAAAAAAACATTAGCTCGCTGTTTTTATAGGCAGGATTACAAAAAAATTGGTTCTGTTTTCTTCATTTTAAGAATAATTGAATTGGCTTCCAAACTGAAGTCATTTTTCTTAGTATAAGCATACTTTACTTCTCTTAATGCTTGTGTGTACTACTTCGCCTCTTTCGCCTGTTTTCTTTCTTTTTTTTTTTGTTCACATTTTACAATTCTTTTCTCACTTTTCCTTTTTTGTCTGCAATTGCGCGTTTAGCGTTTTTATCCCGCAGGTTTTGTTAAAATCTCAGGGTTAACGTGCAACTGAGACAGTGCTCAAACAGCCTTTGTTCTTTAAGTAGTCTTTTCAACCTTTGGTTTGCTAAGATTTGATTTACATCTCGGCTGTAAACGCCACATGTTATTTGTTTTTTTGTAATTTTCACAAGACCAATTTTCAAACAAGAAAAACCAAAACAATAAAACATTGAAGTCGACACCTCCTAGCGTTTCACTCAAGAAGGATATTAACTATTTCCATCGAAAGCAATTTTTTAAGAGGGAGAGAAGGAAATCAAAGTCAAAATTTCGGGAAAATATTCACCCTAGCTTCCTTCGCTGATTATACCTTTTTGAGATATTTTTGGGTGAAAAGGACAAAAAATTACTCTTGTAATGGTGAATTCTTTGAAATTTTGGTTTTTATTTTAGTGATTGGGGTTTTTCTATCTGGAATTCTGCGTGTGTGTTGTTTTGACACAAATCACCCGGTTTTATTGGGGTGATTTGTTGACATTTTTTATCCTTCAAGCGTGTATTTTTTACAATTTTTACCTTTTGGGTATTTTTTGGGAGGAAAATGGACTAAAATTTTTTTTGTATTGGTGAATGCTTTAAAATTTTGATATTTGTTTAAGTGATTTGGGTTATTTTATCTGGAATTCTGCGCGGGTGTTTTTTTTTTACACAATTGACCCTTTTCTTTTGTTTGATTCGTTGACATTTTTCACCCTTTAAGGGTCAATTGCTTAAAATTGTCACCTTCTTGAGATTTTATTTTGGTGAAAATGGACAAAAAATTACTTTAGGGTTATTTGTTGACATTTTTTACCCTTCAAGGGTGAATTGCTCGTAAAATTCACCTTCTTGTGATTATATTTTTGTGAAAATTGACAAAATGACTCTTTTAATGGTGAATCCCTTTAAATTTTTATATTTATTTTAGTGATTGGGGTTTTTCTATCGGGAAAACTACGAGGGTGTTTTTTTTGTCACGATTCACCCTTACTCTTTAGGGTGATTTGTTGACATTTTTTACCCTTCAAGTGTGAATGGCTCGTAAAATTCACCTTCTTGTGATCTTATTTTTGTGAAAATTGACAAAATGACTCTTTTAAGGGTGAATTCTTTCAAATTTTAATATTTATTTTAGTGATTGGGGTTTTTCTATCGGGAAATTTACGAGGGTGTTTTTTTTGCATGATTTACCCTTACTCTGCAGGGTGTTTTCTTGGCATTTTTCACCCTTGCAGGGTGGATTGCTCGTAAAATTCACCTTCTTGTGATTTTTTTTGGTGAAAATTGACAAAATGACTCTTCTAAGGGTGAATCCTTTCAAATTTTTATATTTATTGTTCTCCTGAAATTGTATGATGTATAGGTATTTGTGTGTATTTTAACAACTTATTTCTACAATGACATGGTATTTACGCAAAAACGGGTTGCTCTGGCACCTTTCAAAACACTACCTCTGTATTGCGTCAAGAGGGTAAACACGATTTTAGACAATTTTAAAGCCTTATTTTTCCAAGGTACGGCATTTAACAGATAAACTGTAAAGGATTCTACAGGATTTTGTTTAGGATCCTGTACGATATTGAAGGATTGTCTACGAACCTTTTGGATCTGGTAGGATGTTTCGTAAAGCTTGTCTTTGCACTTTAACTGCCTTGTCTTTGCACATTAAACTTTTAAGACATTTATTCAGTAATCTGACTTCGCGGAGTTTCAAACCGGTGTCTCTTCAGTCTAGAAATTTTTAAGTGAATGAACTGTAGCGAAAGAGTGCCTGGTTAAGGCTCACATAACAAGTTAAATAGTTAGCAAAACACTACTTTTTTCGCGGTCCGATAAACAATAGGATTTCACATGGAATAGACGACAAACTGAATGAAACACAGTGCACAAATTCATCACCTTCTTATCTGCAAAAAACCGACCTATGGCTCAATGCTATTAGAGCCCGCTGAAACTAGACCTAGATCCAATTTTCCTGAGTGGAGAGTTGCTTTCCCAAGGAACAAACAGCTAAGCTAAACACCGACGAAACAATATTAATGGCTTTCAGAGAACATTTTGGCGAAACCGCAGTTCAACCACGCGATCACATACCTGTCATCACTATGCGGAAATCACACAATCACACACTTTCGAGGCACTGATAAGACTATCCACAACCACGCATAATCTTCTCACGTTTAACATAAGCGCAATATTATCGAATAATTCGGAAAAACTTAGCCTATTGACAAATAAACAACTCTGGACTTTTCTCTTACACTTGTCTTATTCAAGTTCCCGGATGTAGAGTCACACGGTCGGCGGGGACCACCGTAGCCTTGTTTTCACATCAGAAAATAACTAAGTCTTGGCCTGGGTCACAGTTCACCTGCAATTTTGCTCTCATCTAATTCATTTGACTCCTAAGAGCCTGTTCCCGATGCCAAAGACTTGGTGGTCACCTTAGAAAAGCGAACAATATCGTACCTTTCCGTCTCAGCCCGGATCAGGGTGATTGATACGATATTGGACGATGCAGACTCTGCGAATCGCGATAACTTCGTCCCATCTCAGAGCTTTACATGATGCTCTCCGGGAAACTTTTCGCAAGGTGACCAATATCTAAAAGTAAACTGCTAAACGGCACCGAAACCAGCTTTAGGCGAGCACCGATTTCAAATAACTGTCACTTGGGTTAAAGAAAGAATTGTGGGTAGGGAAAAAAATAGGAGGGGGGTCAGATAGTAATTCTGTGTCCATCCACTTTTACACAAATCCCTAACCACAAAACAAGCAAAAAAACGACATAAGCAAACAACACAGTAAACAAGCTATTAGACAGGGGAAGTTGAGAAAAATTACAAAATGTTTGCTAACCCGGTTTTCAAAACTCCAGGTAGACTTGTATATTTCTAAGCTATTTTTAAGGTTCTTGAGTGCATCATCTATATTTCACAGGATGCTGTTGAGTCCTGTACAATCTTGTCTAAGATCTCATATGACATCTTGCTTACAAGTGATAAGATCGAGAGCATTATTGACCAGGTCGTAGAAAATGACATTGGCCTTTGCACCGTTACCGAGACCTGGTTAAATGACGCTGATTCCGTCAGTATTGCTCAGTTGTCTGTGGCCTGTTATTTCTTCAGGAATTTTTCTCGACAATCACAAAACCGTGGTGGTGGAACTGGGATTCTGTTTCGAGACTCTGTCAACGTTTCATTAGTGGATGGGAGGGAAAACAAGTCACAAGTCCTTCGAATATTCTGAGTGGATTGTTAAAGTGCACGATCGCTCAATGAGACATATAATAGTGTATCAACCTCCATATTCTTCGTTACATCCTGTTTCTGCCTCTGTTTTCTTTTATGAATTCTCTCAGTTTTTAGAGAATGTTGTTATGTGCCCCGAGGTTCTTGTTATCTCTGGAGACTTCAACTTTCATTTAGATGACCTCCGTGACAGTGACAACAAGAAATTTATGGATTTACTGGAAACGTTTAGTCTTTCGCAACACGTTTCCAGCCCGACCCTTTTATCGGGTCATACCTTGGATCTAACTATTGCTCGTTCGTCGGATGATGTTGTTCTTGCATTTGCTAAAGTTACTTTTCCCACCTCCGATCATTTTATTATTCAGTGTGCAATTGGCTTCCCGCGACCAGCTTTATCATGCAAAGAACTCACTTTTTGATATTGCCGAATTCTCGGCTGATATTGCCTCTTCTATGCTTTTTGCAAGCGTGCATTGGGACAACATTGATGCACTCTCCGACTGCTTAACATCACCCTTACTGACATTTTGGACAAGCATGCCCCCTTAAAACAAGGATTATCGTCCAAAGATCCCGTGGTATAATGATGACATTAAACAACTCAAGCGTAA